GGGTTTTTTTTTTTTAATCTTTTGAGATTACATACTTGTCTGCTTCTCTGCCTTCTAAGCATGTAAACTTTTACACTAACTTCAAGTTAGGAATATTCTGTGAATGCTCTATTGGGCTGCTGGAAGTCTAAATCTAGAAGTAATTGCAGCCACGTTTGTTGAATAAAACCAGTTTACTGCAGTTTACAGCACTGCTATTCCATGAAGGGAAGGGACTGTCCTGCTCTGGTACTGCCTCACCTTCAGCACTGGGAGCAGTTTTGGGCAGCACACTTTAAGGACATAAAACTATTAGAAGGCATCCAAAAGACAGCAACAAAGATGAGGAAGGATCTAGAGTGTGAGGAGAAGCTCAGCCCCGTGTTTGCTCAGCCCAGAGCAGAGGAGCTGAGGAGAGGCCTGATGGCGGCTGCAGCTCCTCACAGGGAGCGGAGGGGCAGCGCTGAGCTCTGCTCTGTGTGACAGCGACAGGGCCCGAGGGAACGGCATGGAGCTGCGTCAGGGGAGGGGCGGGAAAAGGGGCTCGGGAAAGGCTCTGCATCAGGGGGCGGTGGGCGCGGAACGGGCTGCCCAGGGCACGGTCCCGAGTTGCTGGAGTTCATCCAGCAAGAGTTCGGTGCTGTCAGAAATACGATTTGATTTTTGGGTGGTGCTGTGTGGAGCCAGGAGCTGGACTCAACAATCCTCGTGGGTCACTACCAACTCACAATGTTCTGTGATCCCACAATTCTCCATCAGCCATTAAACTCCTGTGACAAAAAAGATGTTCCTTGATGAAGTTAAAAATGGCAGAAGAAAGCAAATCACTTAGCTCTTCTCCTTTATAGATTTCTGCTACCAGTCCTCCTCCTTGGGGGATTGTGGAGACCTGCCAGCTAATTCTGTGGACAGGATGGCTTCTAGACTTGCCTCTGATCTGCAATGATGCTATTATTTCTTCATTATTGTCTACTGTATAAAATCAGCATCTTTCTCCCCAGAAGGAGATTGCTCAGAGTTGCTCATGAGAGCCATTTAGCTCACAGGGGTGGGCCTGCTGGGGACCTACAATATTCCCATATCAGGGTTAATGTCACATCAAGGCACTATTAGTACCTCCTTTCCTTCCACAGTTATTCGTTCAACTGTAAGATTACTAATGCAATTTAAAGTTTTTTCTAGAGTACTGTTGGCTGGCCTTCAGGGTTATTGTAATTACATGGAGAGATATTTCAAGGTTTCTGAGAGCACTGGGGTAGAAACTGCAGTTGTGGGGAAGGAGTGGGTTTTCAGTTACACTACAGAAGTGCAGAATTGAAAGCAGCTGCCTCCACATTCAGCACTGACCAAAAACTGACTCTGCCCAATGCCACCCAAGCTGCGTATTGGAATTTTCCCACTGCATTCCCATCTGTAGAACCGAGATAGCGTTTTTTATCAGCTTTGTGGGGATTTTATAATTCCGTGTTCATGAAGAGAATAGAACTGCCAGCTACAAAACTTTCACAGGCCTTGGAAAACAGAATTCCAACAGAGAACTCTCATAATGCACTGCAAGAGAAGACACTGCTCTTCTTCTTTTGTAACAAAATGAATAATTTAAGAACACTCACTTGCTGTCTTGAAGCCATCTTTTACTTGTCCCTGGGCAGAGCTGGAGGCAGCGTGGTTTGCATGCCAGCTGCTGTTTGTTAGCCAGTTCAGCAACACCGTGGGCTGCGAGGCACTGGCTGTGCCAGCATGATAGACAAGATGCTCTTCTGCGTGTTTTCCCAGTATTAGAGTCAGGCTTATGCAACTGATTAATAACAAAAACAATCTATTTTCTTTGTCTTATGCGAATGATCTTACAAGTGTACCCATTGTGCATTACCTGCACTGCTCTTAGGCTGGACTTGGATTTGGTCTAAATTATTCTTGCACTATTTCCATGGCATTCTCCATCTCCTGGGGCCACTGCTGGCTGCAAAGTTCCCTATATTCAAAAGGAACCAAAATGCTATATTCTTCTAGAAAAACATTTGGACGGTTTAATTGTCTGCCTAGGTTCCTATGACAACCACAGCAACACAAACAGCCTTCCTGGCAACCACTGGAGACCAAAATCTCTGCTCTCTCCCCTCCCTTCGCTATAACTTCTCAATTTAGAACACACTGTAACTGGATAAATATGATTAGCAAAAAAAAAAAAAAAAAAGTAGTGTCTAGTATACAAAGCTCGCACTGGGGAAACCTCTTGCAAATGAAAATGTATTACTGTATTTTTAGATAACAGCCAAAACATTGCTTGTTAGGTCAGTGTTATCAAAGTACCTTGGGATCAACTGTAAAGAGCAGTGCAGAGCTATAAACATAGAAAAAGGAGGGGTTTCTCTGTCAGCTCATGAGGTTGTGATGAGCTGTAAAAGAAGTATGACAAGATCTCTCCTGGTGCCTCATAGCACCGCTCACCTGGCTGGCAGGCTACGCATCACAAATAGATACACATGGCAGCGCTGCTGGGGTTATGATGGCTGCAGAGATATGTGGCTGCACGCACATTGTGTGATGTGACCGTATGCACTCCTCCATGTCTGCAGCTCACATCTTTCCAGCAAGAAAAGCATAAAGAAGACAAGAGCACAGCAGCGCAGAAACACCACATGGCACAATCAATGCAAGCACAGCAGAAGCCGTTTTTCTGAAGCTCAAGCATCATGGAAGATGGCCAGCACTGCTGCCCGAACAAACTGAGGTCCAGCAGATCCCAGATAATATAGCCTGTGTATTCTTTCTCCCCTAAGCAAAATTGCTGCCAAAAAAAAATGGCTAAAATTAATCCTAGAGGTTTTAAGAACCTTAAACCCATTCAGCCAATACTGGATGGCATTAAACCATCAAAACAAGTTACAAAGAGGCTGTGTGTGATGCATTTAGAGGATATTCACAACTCACAAAATTGTCTTTTAAGCTATTAAACTAGTTTCTCATTGTAAAAATATCATATATTTGTTAAGTCCTTGTTGCTGTAAATCTAGCCTGTGACAACATAACTTTGTGAAAGCTGTAACTTCTTCACTAGTGCGGTTGGTCTCCCTTAGGCACCCATCCTCCCTACAATGGCAGAATGATACAGATGGCTCCTGCCACACTGAACAACTGGAAATGTAACTATACAGGTTTCACCACAACAGTCCTCTCTGTGGGACTAGTTTTGCTGTGAAGCAGACTCAGCATTTGAGGAACCAGAGGTAAGAAGTCTATGATGTGAATCCTCAGAAGCCAGAATTCTATAGTTATTCCTTCCAAACCATTATGTGAGATGTATGTGGGAGGAGGAGGGGAGATACATGCCAGTCCCACAGGATGTGTAACAGAAGGCAGCACCTGGCAGTCTACAGCTTGAATGACCAGATTGTAGAAAACTTCCTGATTATGCAGACCAGGTGGAGACAAGATTAGAACTTAATGAATTAAACACTGGACATGAGGATGCACACATAATCTTTGGAAAAAGAAATGTAGTTATTTCATTGGATTTCTTTCTTAAGGCAGGAAATTCACTCTAATGAATATCAATATAACAAATTTAAAACTTGAGTTTTTGATTTAAAGATTCTGAACAGGCTCACTGTGCTATGAAACTATTGTACAGTATATAAATACTGTATTCTGCAGTTTGAACTTGAAATATTTTTTTCATGTCTAATTTGCTCCAGTAGGCTGTACAACAAGGAGTGCTCTGTGAGACTAAATCACAAATGTAAAAGGATTACTGATACCTACATTTCCACATGCTGTATAATAAGACTATCAAATAAAGTTTATCTACCAATTATACCTTACAAATTTATGTTTCCATTTATATGTTACCGTGTAACATATAAATGGAATTTATGCTTTTGCTAAGTAAAGAATAGTACTTAAAATTACAGTATAAATGAGATGAATGTTGACAGAATATGAAGGCTTCTTTCTGCATCTGGAATGAGCCACTAGGCATAACACCCTAACAGTGCTGAAATCAAAAGGAGGACAGTTTTACAGTCATTTTAAATCATTTTACGATTCGCTGATACCTTCATATCTTCCAAACTCTGTCCAGTATGACTTGCTACCCGTTTGGATTTAATTTCTGAGAAATACATGCAAACAAAAGAACACCAAACCTCCACACAAACTTCTGCATATTTTCCAAGTATGTTTATAGTGTGCTGGTGGCAGAGATAAGGAATGGCAAGAAGGTTTTATCGGCAGCAATTACACACTTATCAGCAGTGATTCTCTTGTGCCATTGAACCATTCTTCAGTGTAAGCCTAGCCCTGGTGGTTTTAGAAGTGTTGATAAAGCCATTCCAGGACTTTATTCCATCTCTTGAAGTCATTCTTTAAGAACAGTCAATACTTCAGCAAACTTGGGAAGTGCTGTGATTTCACCAGGAATCTGTGCTGCTTAAGAAAAAGAGGTGTGATGTATTTTGCACATCAGTGGGTATTCTGCAGTTACACTGGGACATTTCACTGAATTCACACATTTTTACATGGTAAGTGCAATGTGCATCATGTTCCCATGTTAAGCACAGGAACACAGAAACGTAGCTGCAAACCATGCTTTGGGCAATTTGAACTTTTCAGATTTTTACCATTTTAGATTCTTCAGCAACAAGGTTTCCTCATTAAGTCAATAATAAAAATGTTTCTTAATCAAAGTACTTAAAAAGAAAATTAATTCAGGGGGTAGAAATGTGTATTTAGGGAATATGCCACCTTGAACAAATGAAGACCTCTGGGGAAAGTTAATTTAACTAACTGCTGATATACTTTTGCCATGGCAAAACTGGCAGAACATGCAGAACCCACTGGCATAAATGCTTTTATTTAGGACGTTTGTTAGAATGTAATTGCCCATTTATTTACAGTGCTTTTCTTTTTTTCTTTCAGAAGATCCTAGAGTAAGATTCTATCTAAAAGAGAAAGTGTTCTTGACTGCACGTGTGCCATAAGAACAGCATAAGACCAGAAGATCTTGAAAAGCAACATACCTGCCCCAAGCGGCTTTCATCGTCGAATGTTTGTCAACAGGGATGCATGAGGACTCAACAACACTTGATTTATTCAGTTTGTAGCAGAGACCACAGTCCGGATCTAACATACATCCATTACAGTAACTGAAAGAGAGAGAAAGAAAGAAATACTTAAGCAACACTTTATTTACTTGTAACTGTCAAAGGCAACAGCATTGTCTAATCATTCTTGGGATGCACATAATCAAGTTGTCAGTGCTGAAGACAAGATAATAGAAATGGCCCTAAAGGGAATACAAATAACTTTCTCCTTCATCTGCATGACATTTCGGCAAAGGGCAAGACTACTTGCAAATCTTGAGCCCTGTGAATCTTGATCAGGATTCAGGAGAATTCTCCTATGAAATCAACTGTGAATTTAAAAACAGAGATAGATGGCGGTTGAATAGAAAGAACTGTGTATCATACAGTTGATAATCAATGCAGGATTTGGGCACATATGGATTTGGGAGTCCATCTGAAATTATATCTCCACGTGAGAACTCAGGCAATGAGTTCTAGGCAGAGTAAATGTGTCAGTGGAGCCAATCCATATAGAGGCATCCAGCACCCCAAACTATCCCATCTGCCCTTTACTGTGGCGAGCACTGCTCTTTCGATCGTCCCTGTGTATCATATTTGCCAGCTTCATAAATATATCTCAGATTTCCTTGGGATTCTTACAGAGCAAGAAATGCTCACATTGAGGCAAAGTTTGGTCAATGCATTCTTGAGAGTGATTCAAGTGACAAGGCTGCAAACTTTTCCAGACTCTTTATCATAGCAACGACTCCGTGAATGAAGAAATAATCTGCTAAAACTACTACGCTGTAATTAGCAAATGTAAAAGTGACTGGATAACAAAGTTCCAAAATCTAATTCAGTAACGTAGATTATAAGGATTTTAAAAATCCGAAAGCACGTTTACCATTGAGTTATTCTAACTTTCTTTACGAGGGTGTAGTGATATAAAAGCAGTATAATAAGGTGAGTTTGTATGATACTTGGCAAAATGTCTGGGAGAGCACTGAAACCAATGCATTAATTTGAAGTAGGCACTTTTATACTTCTCTGAAGTTTCAGCACCATGTACTCTTTGTTACTGCAGGCTTTCTAAATTACCAAATGATTGCAGAATTTCCAGACTGTCTGCTCTTGAGAAACTAAATGTACACCTTCCTCTTGCATAACTGAGAGCTCAAATTCAGGTTTCAACATCTGGCTTTTTTTTTTTTTAATAATTTCTCAACTCTTAGCAGTAAAGATTTCTTTCCTCTCTTGCATATATAGATAATATATACATATCTACATATATAGATAATATATACATATATATACAATATATATGTATAAGAAAATAATATATACATATCTACATATATAGATAATATATACATATATATACAATATATATATATGTATAAGAATACAGCTCTGCAATTATAAGCCTTGAAAGGAACACTTCAATATTACACTATCTGAAGTTAGCTGCATTTTGTTAATCACAGCAATGGACAGCAATCAAAACAGAACAGAAACAGAAGATAGCAGATTAATTTTTTTATGCTTTATATATATTTTAGATTAAATATTCTATATTTTTTATAAATCACAAATGTTCAGGTATGTAACAACAATTACAAAATAACTAAATACTAAATACACCTACTTTCATTAGTAGGTGTAATGGAAAAAATGACATCCTATGATGTCACACAGGGTGCTAGCATATGATTTTCAAACCACAGAAGGCCATCCACTTCAGATACGTTGTATATCAAAGCATTTTTTTAACAAAATAGATTTCTATAAAGACTCCTGCTCCAACTCAGCCTGGCTTCCTGGCACAGAAGGCTGCTACCTCCAAACACCGTGTGCTATCCAATGCAGTGGTGGATTTTCAAGTCAAATATATGTGAATTCTATTTAACGTGAACATCAGGTGGAAAATATGGCACATTAAAATGTAAGTTATATATGCAGGAGTTCTTGCAGGAGCATTACAGGATAGAAAGTTCTCTAGATTTATTTTTCGTGGGTTTTACCTCAAGCAGAAATACAGCCCAGTACACAGCACCAGGCAGAACAGCACAAGAGCACACAGGAATGACAGTGATACACAATGATGGGATCATCCCTGTGGTGTTCCCTGTGAAGGATGGAACAGGGATGGAACACTTCATCATCTACCTCAGCATCCTCACAAAAATCCACACACAATATGAATGGCAAAACTAAACTCTTTATTCTGTCCTACTGAGCTTGCTCTACAGATAACTCCATATAAATATATGCAGAGTTGGGTATGGCTGTCAGTCCTGAAGCAGAACCTATCTCATTAATTACTCCTTCTTCATCCACTGGTTCAGAAAAAATAAAAATCTGATTATTAATTACTTCATCTATCCTCAGACTTTATGAGTGTGCATAACTGTGTCCTGCAGTTGCCATTCAGCATGATAAAGGCTGCTGGATTTCAAGTGATGTCAAAAGTCAGAGATTATTGTTACTCATAACAGATTAACAATCCAAAAATTAACGTAGACGTAAAATATGTGTTAGTTTCAGGCTTATGCTCTTCTTCACTTCAGCCCTATTATTGTTTGCTAAATAGAAATGCTTAAACAATTCAAACTTGAGCCCATGTTCTTGCATACATGCTCACAATGATGCAGACAAATCAGGAAGCACAATGAATCAGGAAAAGAAATGTACAATACAATGCTTACTGACATCTAACTATCGACTGCTGATCTCCTCCTTGTCCTCAAATGTACCTTCTTATCAGCCCTACCCAGATATACCCAACTGTATGTCAGAATAATGAGATAGAAAATAGAAATGCTGCCACGTATTCATATACGCACTGCAGTCCAGTTATAGCATTGAAAGCTCCATCCCAGAATACATCAGGATGTCTATGTTAAGAAGGATATTTGCATCCAATTATAAAAAGGAAATGCATTTCCTGCACTTTATCAGGACATATTGATTTCCACACTAAGGTTACAAGGTAGCGTCTTGGAAACGGGCTCCTTTGTGAAGAGCTAGCAGAAAATTCCCAGACAGAATGTTGTCAGTGAGATGTCAGTTTGTCAGGATTGAAATATCTGGCAGAGATTATTTGATTTTGATGAAGCCAGGCAGCAGGAAGGTTCTGCAGTGCACCTAGTGCCCTCACAGCTGGATCCCAGGCAAGCCAACAAGAAGGCAAGACTTCAGGTGCTTCAGCCTACCTAACGGAGTAACAACAAGTAGAGAATCAGGAAAGCAAGGCTCCAGAAGCCTCTGCTTCTTTGCAGCTCAGTTGAATGAAGCCCTCAAAACAGAAGTCTCAGTATCCTGGCCCCTCTGTTTATTGGGAAGAGCCAAGGAATGGGATTTCTGGGACACTGTTTCACCGTCAAAGCACATTTTCCAACAAGCTGACGGACAGTTAGGAGGCTGCCTGTCCCCAGACTTGTAATTCCCCACTCTCATGGTGCCAACTCAGCAGAGGCTTCCCAAGCTCTTACATTCTTTTCATCTGACCAAATGGGAATATCTGAAGCTTTGAAAGCCTGACAGCACTAGCTTTGAGGTCTCTAGCTAGCAGTTTCCTGTCAGGCTGAGCATACAAGCTTTCAGGATGCAGCCTGCCCTATTAACTTTTTTTTCCTGAGTTTACAAGTTGACAATTCCTTCCTCTTCCAGAGAGGATTTGAAGTATTTAGATGTATAATGAGTCAGCTGGCAGTGCACACCTTTTCTGAACCAAAAGTACAGCTTGCTTGCTTTCTAACAGGGTAGTTTAGAAGCCTCTGGTGCGGTCTCATAAGAAGGTGAAATAAAATCTCTGTCCTGTTGAAATGGTCCTCCAGATGCCAAGGAAAGGTTGACAACTGCTTCTCCCTACTTTTATTTCCTCTGCTGTTTAGAGTACTCCATACTGACGTTTGGATTGTCACTACATTTTGTGTTTTAATATTGATAGAAGTATTTCTAAGTATAGCTTTCTTACAGCTCTCAGGGGTTTCTTAATTCGAGCTGCAAACTGTACCATGCCAATTTTTGAGTGATTCAGTAGTAAAAAAGCTTTGTCCAGTGTTCTTGTTCTGCAAGCACTGCTACTCTTTCTATCAAGCTGTTTACATTTCTTCTAGCCATGCCTCAAATTTGCAATTGTTAATTTCAAAACATTTTATCAGTTTTCACTTTTGCCTCATTTTTAGGAACTTTCAGCTTTCTCTTGCACATTTTGCAGCTATAAAACTACATTACTATGAAAATCTGATCCACTCACAACACGCAAGACATTTTCCTCATGCCCTGACAGACTGGGTCTTCTCCATAGAGGAAATTTCAATGTTGAGTGCCTGCTGCCCTCCACTCCTCCTAATCCTGAACTTGGGTTCAAGGTCTAGTGCTGTTTGCATGTGCCTCGCTGCACCTCAGGCACATAAACAAGCACTTCCTTATCCTTCTGATGATTCCTGTGTTGCTTCCAAAAGCCAATCATTAAATTCTGATTGATCACACACCACTGAGCAAAGAACATGGGGGATACTTTAAGTAGTTAAATCCTTGGAAACTGCAAGCTACTACTTCAAGCTGCCATATCTGGGACACAGGAAATAGGATATTCAACACAAATGAGAAAAACACAGCAGGGCTTTGGAAGCATTTTTTCACTACTGCAAGAAACTAAACTACAGAAGCTATTTGCTGGGCTCTGCTGACAGTCTGAGAGGTAATGCATATACACACCTGATGTGCTTAGGTCCTCGTGGCTGCACCCCCGCTGCCAGAAGCAGCCTGCCAGCAGCTGGTGAGCTGGGATGCTGAGCCACACACAGAGCATCTCACCTGCGCATATGTGAGGATCTATCCTCTCTCAGCTCAGATGATCTTTCTTCCTGAATTTATACTTTAATAAGAATCATATTTTTTAAAAAATACTGGTTCTGAGGTATAGTGATGTTATGAAGGATCCTGAACTTCCCAGTGTTAATGAGTTAACTCAGAAAAATGAATAGTCTGCTCTATTTATATTAAATACTCGGTTAATGGAGGATGTACTTTATTTTTACTAAAGCTGTTTAAAGCACTATAACCAGTCTTAGTTCAGGGCTGGTCACAATAAATCATTTTTGCAAAATTCATAAAGAAAGTACATATTTTTGCCTATTGCCTATCTAGTATAATTAATGTGTAACAGCACTCAGTGTTGGAGCCTTCAGCTCAGTGATGTATAAGCATACATTGAACTCAGGACCTCGAACCATGTGAGGATGACAAAGTCAAAGAAGAACAAGGGAATCCTTGTGAGCCCAGCCCAGCTGGCGCTGCCCAGATTGTTTTACTGAAACTATGCAGACAACCAGCTTGGGAAGGAACCTGAGGAAGTTCTGTACAGGTATCATTTCCCTACAGTATGAGCCTCAGGGTCAGCTTGAGATCAACCCCAAATTTACCATTTTCACACAGCAGCATTTCTTAAGCAGAACAAGTTCAAATTATGCCTTGTACAGCTGATCAAATCTTAAGCAGTACAGTAAAAGAGACACTTGACTGGAGGAAGATAAAAAGGCCAAGAACACAAGGACACAGGACAATGATCTTTGTTCACAAATGGGTCAGTTTCCCAAAGAAAGGTGGAGTGGGATGGTCACCTATGATTTGCTGAATACTGGAAAAAGACAGAAGCCAGCTACTGCACCTGTCCTGGACTTGATCGCTTCTCAGAAGCAGGCAGGACCCCATAAAACTGGGAACATCTTTATAGCTTTGAGAATTCAAGAAAACAGCAGGAGACACCTGCTCATCTTTTCTCAATGACAGATTTTGGAATCCTGCTGTTCTGTACTCCTGAATTTACCTCTGAACTTCTCTCAGTCTTTGAAGGTAAGTATAGATTGCATTTCTGTTGCATATTCTGTTGAACAGACTCAGATCAAAGAAGAGACGTGGTCACGCTGTGAACACCTGCACAGCCTTACCTGGGCTGAGTGTGAAAATAAAATTTGATTTAAGGGCAGTACGTAGGAAGATGTTCCCCTTTCCTTTCCTCAGTGAGACAGCTGTGAGGAGATGTGGAGGCCTTCAATGGCCAGGACTTGTGCTGCCTCCACGATGACCTTGTGAGTAAAGATTACATTTGATTTTTTTCACTGATTTATGCATTATTTTTTGACTGTTGCTCCACTATCATATTGTACTTCTCTACAGCACATGAAAATATTTTACTTGATATTTGCAGAGCACCTTATTGGTTTGCATTCTGCAAAAAACATGTGTCTGTCTGCAGGGCACAGCTCTTTCAAAAGACTGTATTCAAGCCCTAGGTGTATTTTTCAGAATGCTGTCAGTGCTCTTTATTTGTCAGTCTGTTGTACCTTCATTGCTATTCTTCCAGCAGCAGGAATTAATCTGTGCAGAGGAATACAGATCAAGGGAACAACAAACAAACAGGCTATTTGTAGTAGTTCTAAGGCTTCCATCATGGACACTCATGCTTATTTTAACCCAGCAGATCTGCAAACATAAAAAGCACTTTTACTCTGCACCGTATCAGCAAAACCTCTGTCAGCAAAATAAATTTTGCTGGTGTTGTTTTAACTTTCAAACACATTTTGGCAAAGATAAATAAAAGTGATATGTGGGAGTCCCCCTACACTATGAAGCACCCAATCTGCACAACGGTGTAGATCCTGGAAAGTGCACCTCACCCCAGAGAAGCCCTGCACCACGCCAGCTGAAGGACTGCTGGCTGCATTTGTGTAGGCACGCTAGTTTGAAAGTGGTTACAGTGACCACAGGGACATGACATTATGTGTTCATCTTCTGAAGTCCTGCTGGCTTTTGGTTTTCCACAAGTGCCTGAGACCTATTAGAGGATTGCAAAGTACAATACTAAGCAAGATGAGATACCAGCAGTTATACTGAAGTGAGCAAAATATGGATTAAACAGCAATAAACCCTTGCAGGGGACATACAAAAACTAACTCCCATCTTCTAACAGGTTGATTGGTGAGGATGCCATCTGCTTGCTCATGACACAAACATTTTTTAAAATTTAATTTCACTTACACAGAAAGCAGCTGACTGGTATCTCAAACAACCACTTCTTCAAGGTGTATACAGTGTATACTATGTCATACACTCCAAAAATAATCTAGGTAAAGGAATAAATTAATCTATATGCCCTCTGTATAGCTACGAGAGCTCAGCAGAAAGACATGCTGAAACCAGGGTGCACTGGGGATATCACTGGGGATGAAATGCTTTTTAAAATCGTTTCTTCTTCCCTTGATCTATGCTAAAAAAGAGAGCAGCATTTTGTGCAGTTCCTGCTATCTGGGCTGAAAACACTTGGAATTTTGAGGCTTCTGGTACTGAGACAGAAGCAAGCAGCCATTGACTTCCATTCTGGACACTGAAATTCATTATTCTGAAGAAGTTTGGGGATGTTTTAAATCAGGAAAATTGATATCCCAAATATATGAATTTTTATACACGTGTGTGAAAGTCATCGCTCACGATGTAAATGCTTGTTTTTTATTGAATCTGTTTAAAGAGTGGGTGCTGTAGCCTAATTCTGTGATTTGTTACATATATTAGTATCATCTCACCTGGCTTTTGTGTCTCTTTCCAAAGTTATGGTACAAGATGAAAATAAAAGCTCCTAAAGGTCTCTCATACACTGCTCACTATTTTACATTTTACACTATGTAACACTACGTTCAGTTTTGTCTGAGAGCTCATTCTTTTTCAAAATACACCCATATGAAAATGTGTCATTGATTTTCTTGCTCTTATCTAGATCCCTCGAATTATCATATCTGCTTTTGCTCTTTTTATGTCAGAAATCACAACAGATTAAAGCATTCCAATAATCATTAAATAATGTGCTTTTATTTGAATTGCTTGCTTTATTTGGTCATGTTTTTAGCTAGAAGTGCTCACAATACTGAATGTGAACTACCCATATTTCTTATATGCACATCTCTACACCGCTTCAGGTTATAAAATCACCTACTTTCATCAGATAGCAAATAACAAGTTCTGCAAGTGGTGCATCAGCTGTCTCCAGACATCTTGTCCAAACAGTTAACCAAAGTCTGAGGAAAATCCTTTTGACATCTTGCTATTAATATTATCTTACTCTTAAAGGAGAGCATTTGAAAGCTCTTCTCCCCCTCTTCATTCTTTAACTAGTTTACTTGTAGTCTAAAAAACTGCATAGGCATATCTAAAAAATAGCAATATAGCTGACATCGCAGTGGGAAAAAAAGTAAAAACACAGCTTTTGAAAGTTGTGATCCTCATCTCTGGTAGTATTGGCATCTGTGTACTCATCTGAACACTTTCCTTCCTGTCCACATGGGCCTGTGAAATTTCAGTTCCTCAGAATCATTGCTGTAGCATACGAAAAGCCTTGAGCCTTATTTCTAAGCAAGAGCTCTAGGAGACCAGAAACTACCATTCATTTCTCAGTTTTATGTCTATAACCAACACATGTACAACATGTTTTGAACTTAAGAATTTCTCCAGCCACGTAGCCAGTTTTGTCTCAATTAGAGCACTGACATTTACCAGCCTGCCAATTTGGTGAATGTCACTCACATGAGTAAGAAAACACAAAATACAGAAAATGGCACATTCATAATACCTTAGAAATTATCTTATTTGAAACCACAACTGCATACAGTTGGGAATGTTTTATATACTACAGAATAAAAAGTCAAAAAATCAGGTTTAACTGTTAATTGGTCTGTAATTGTTGGGAAGTTGTTTGCTGTTTGTCTGTTTGCTAAAACAAAAGGCAAGGAACAAGTCTTTTTGAACAGTTCACAGCTGTTACAGATGACGACCCTACAAGCAGACAATAACAGCAACCATATTTGCAAATTACTTTAAAATATTTCAAACTTGGTGTCCACTGTGAACTTCAACAGGTCTGATATAACAAAGAAGATCTGAAGTTTGCAGTCTGGTGCTTAACTGCTCTACTTTATCCAAGAAACTACACAGGATTATTCACAGCGTTTAAACAAAGAGTCTAATTTTCTTCTCTATTGAGGGAAGTAAAGATTTTAACTTCAGGTATCCTACTTAATTCCTTAAACTAGAGTGTGTGAATACTTATCCATTGCCCACACGAGGCTGTAAAATCCAACTAGCTGGAAAAAAAGTCTTCAAGAAAGACCATGAAATCTCACCTGTATTTTGTGCAGGTAGAGTTTTGATGTGAAGGATCTGGTGGATTAAGTGTGACTCTTGGCGAGACCTGAGCTGACAGCAAAAATCCCGAAGCTAGGATAATGAGTGCTACAGCAGTGCCTAAAAATACAGATAAAGAACAATGTGATACTTTTCTCCAGAAAACATGAAATAATTCTCTATTGAACTGGGCTACGCTTCAGAAAGCAAGGTACCCAATTATTATGCACACGGCATTTGCCATTACGCAGAGCAGCTGTGATGAGAACCTGAGAAGAATACCCTTTATGCTACATCTTCATCTTGAATTAGATTAGACATTAAAGTCAAGTGAATCAGGTTTAACATCCAGATATTCAATTAATAGGTCAAGACTTTTTTGTCATATGCGTAATTGAAGGCTGCTTGAATGAACAGAGAAACTCTTTTCAGTGTTGAAAAGTGCTGCAAAGGTAAAATTTAACAAGCAGTGTTTACATCACATTTCCTCCCATTCCCAGACTTGCAGGCTTTCCTGAAGACAGAAGACAGAAAATAGAATCAGCTTTTCCATCAATTATTCTTCCCTTTGTCAAACAAGAGAAATCTGACTATTCATAGAATGCCACCAAAATGTCCAACTGCAGTTTCTGAACTTCTTGTTTCAAGGATTGCATGTAACAAACCTGATAGGAAAGAGCCCCCTCCACCTCTTTGCTCCTGGCTCCAACAAATTTCTTGTACACGCCCAAGATTCTTACTTTGTAAAACAGGTAATTGCCTGAGCTCTATGCAGCTTTGCTGTTTGTCACACACACACAGCATGTGCTGCATCATTTTAAAGACATCAGTATAATCCATTACTGAGTATTGCAACCAACTTGAACTCAGACTAATGAAATCTTTACATCTTGGTACTTGGTGAGGCATTTAACTCTGCGTTGAATAAAATGCACTCTTTGTCACATAAATAGCAAGTACGCAAGTAGGTGTATTTTGAGAGGTCCCATAGACCATCATGTATAGATGACCAAAAATACAGAACTACTTACAACTTTATTTGTGGATTAGTTACTGATTGTTTAATCACATTTTCCTTAGCATACAAAGACTGACTCAGGCACCACCAAAGCACATTCCAATTGGAAGGCTGTAGTGCATTCTGAAGTATGCAATGGCACAGCTTAATGGTTGAGGGCAAATAAAAATATTCAATCCAAGAAGATGCCTCAGCAAGCCCTTGCTGTACATGATAGAAATTCACAGAACGCACCTGTGCTAACCTTTAAAAATGTCACTGCATTGAAAACCTTAATGTGTCACTCTTCTCACTCTTTAACAATTACACATTCTCCATTTTTACTTTTTGATTCTTAATTTTTTCTCTCTCAACAAGAATTTTCTAGCAGGCAAATCCTTCAAGAATAGGATTTTTTTTTTCTGAAGTATAAATAATATCTTAGGCACCAAGATAATAAAAATATAATTCATTAACATGTCTGTGCAGCAGCCATGGCTAATAGATATGAATATGCATGAACTCAAGATTACTGGAACGCAGTTACCTGAATGGAGGCAACTGACATCGTAAATTCAATCACAAAGCATATTTGAGATAGCAACTATCCACCATAAAACATAATTTGAATTTATTCTATACTGGGCTTTGTACTGCTATGGCGACCAGCTATGCTGATAATTCCATTTTTCTGGGCAGGTGCAATATTGTACCAGATTTACTGTACTTTCTGTATTTACTAAGCTTTCAAAATGCCATGAACCAGACAGCCAATATATTTAGAGAGGGCCCATAATCTTATTTATATTCATTCTAAATATGTCATGTCTTTCTTTCAAGTTAACTGAATACACAAATGTGCATTACAGTACCTCTGCACGTCTTATTTCTTTGGAGAAGTACTGAATTATAAAATTGGTGAATTAAGTTTATTATATGTTGTCATTCCGCGGAAGGTTTGTTTAAGATTCACTAAAACATACAATTGCAGTATGCCATTAACTGAGATGAAAAAAAAAGGATAAATATCTTGAAGGTATTCTAGATCCATTCTGCTACAAACAAAAATACAAATTGTCAAATGCCCAAATACCACCATGCTTTCAGTTTGCCGGTTCTGAAGGAATGAAAGGAAAACACGAATAAAATGGGATACTGCACTTCCCAAAATTCCAACATTTCACAATGAATAAAGTTGAGAAAAGAAATACACAGAGGAAAGGAAAGATGGAGAATCCTTGCCAAGATACATGAAGGGGAAATTAAGAGGAATCAGTAACTAAGAGTGTGTTGATGTTTAATCAAAATCTTACCATCTTTTCACAAAAACATCAAATCCATTAGCCTTTACAAAAAAAAGAAACAAAACCAGCAGCCTTGCAGCAGCAGGCAGAGGTAGCAGTCCAACTCTCATTCTGTACTGGGGCTCACATGCTTTCCCCAAAGAAAAGCACCCAGTGTAATAACTCCATGTGAAAATTGATTTCCTTAGAACCATAAACCGAAGTACAGCAGTAATATAGAAGTTTACCCGAGATAAAAAAGTAACTGTTGAAAACAAATCCACCAGCTGATTTAGTAATTAACATGTTAGCCCACTTGCTGAGAAAAGAACATCATACTCACCACTACCTCAATGTCTGTCAACACTTGTATCAAGAAATTCTAAATAGCACAGACATGATGTGGGATTTCATTACTGTCATTATTGCTGCCATATTTTCCTTAAGCAGAGACCGTGCAATACTGAGCACAGTGAGAATGCAGCATGGATCAAGTGAAGCTGCAGGACTGACAGCGGGCTGCCAACTACAGAACAAGGAACACAAATATCATTACTAATGACTTCATGTCCAAATACCATAAACAAATAACCCTTAACTGCGTTATTCTCCTTTGCTAATTTGGTGTCTTATTTCTATCCTCTCATCTGTTCCATGACTCATATGCTTTACAAGACACATTACTATCCACATTCAATCTTAGAACCTTTGAATACATCAACCAGAGCCAAAAAGAAGAGTTCAGTGATTGTGTACAAAATCCACATGGTAATCACACCTGTATGGTGGTTCCAAACAACCAATGAACCAGAAGTGGCCAGACATATGAGGTGTCATGGCATAACACAGAAATATATAAAAACAGAATGAATTCTATTAGAGTATAAATGAGAGATAATGCCCACAAAACAAGTTTCAGGAGAATGCTAGAATTGTATTTCACAGGAAAAAAAAACAGAAAACAAAAGAGATAATCAAAGGAAAAATGGAATTGAGCCAGGTAACAGTACAGGGCTGGGGCTTTTTTCTCTGAAAGATGTGATACTGGCTACACAAAAGAACCCACAGAGGAAAAACAGTTTAACAGATCCGAAGGTGGGCTGATAAAAGGATGTCATCCAAAGGTCAAGGTGATGCACTTGGGTCAGAGCAATCCCAGATACGCGTACAAACTGGGAGAAGAACTCCTTGAGATCCACCCTGTGGAGAAGGACTTAAAAGTCCTGGTGGACAAAAAGCTGGACACAAGCCAACAGTGTGTGCTTGCAGCCCCAAAGGCCAACAGTATTCTGAGCTGCATCAAGAGAGGTGGCCAGCAGGGAGAGGGAGGTGATTGTCCTCCTTTGTTCAGCCTGAAGAAAAGGCTCTGGGGAGACCTCACTACAGCCTTTCAGTATCTAAACAAAGCTTACAAACAAGATGGAGACTGATTCTGTATACAATCTGATAGTGATAGGACAAGGGGGAATAGTTTTGAAATTAAAGAGGGGAGATTTAGGTTAGATGTTAGGAGGAAAATTATTACTCAGAGGGCAGTGAGGCCCTGGCACAGCTGCCCATAGAGCTGTAGGTGCCCCATCCCTGCAGGCACTCAGGGCCAGGTTGGATGGGGCCCTGGGCAGCCTGAGCTGGTGAGGGGCAGCCAGCCCAGGGCAGGGGTTGGGGCTGGTGGGCTTTAAAGTCCCTTCGAACCCAGTCCAAACCGTTCTATGATTCTACATAAAGGTAACCCTCTGAGATTTTTTTGGTCATTTTTTTAAGATGTGAGGAATGTGCTTTCTCAACCTCCCTCCACATCCATGGACTTGGATCATGAAAAACATTTTGGGTTTCTCAGCTCCAAATCAACATCACAACACATCAAACACAGACTTCTTACAATCTGGAAATACCAAACATGCCACAAGTCCATGTTATACCAGTTTAGGTAGCTGTAAAAAAATACATGCAATACTGCCATCGCTGTTTGGCCTAAAAGAAGATATCCAAACGCTCTGGGCAGACAGATACCTGTTCTGGGGGGACTGCAAGTGGGCAGGACTCTGACAGGTATTCCTCTCTGCTCTATCACATCTACAGCAAGTCTGGATCCCACACAGGACAGCACTGTGAGATACAGAGACATTCAAGCTTGCCAGTTAAGCAGCTGTGAGCATTAATCCAAGAGGAGCAAGAATCTCTCTCCTTCTTCCAGACCATGGTCTTGGAAATACTACAGCCTTCACATGTTCAGCAGAGACTGCCAGCTGTATTGTCCTGCTATTCTTGATAAGCTACATGATTTCAGCGAGGAGACAGGAGTCAACATTATTAGTTTGAAGAGGATTATTTTGATCAAGTTAGCGCTTGGAATGTCCTTGTTTCATTCACGTTACCACGAGGAAGGCACATCTCACTCCCGAGGCACTCACCTGCTAAGCTGCCCAGTGTCAGCTTCCGGCGGCCCATCCTCTCAACGAGCCAGACTCCCACCAGAGTGAAGATGAAGTTGATGAAGGCTGTGAGGGCAGCCAGCCAGATGGCCAGCCTGTCATCCTCAACCCCTGACATCTGCAGGATGGTCGCACTGTAGTACCTGCAGGCAGAAGGACACAGCCATCACTGGCGTCAGTTTGCCTCCCGTTATGCTCCGATTGTAAATCAAAGGAGATGACAGCAAACGCCAAGTGTGAGCTCCTGTGAATGCGGCCCCAGCCTGACACCAACCACATGGGGAAACCAGGCATTGCCATGGCACGGCTTGTGCTTGGCTGAAGTTTTGACTGAAGGACACTGAGAGATGAATTGCCATTCCTTTGGCTGTTTGCATTTCCCATGGTCAATCATATTCTGCCAGAAATTAGGTTTGCACTTTTTATTTAAACAAATCTGCACAGCCATTACTTTATGCTCTTTTTTCTTTTTCTTTTTTTTTCTGCCAGGATGTGGGATTTCAGCAGTGTACTGTCTAGGGAAAACATGAAATATGTTTTTGCACCTATTAAAGGTCACACAGAAGTAGTCTAAGGCACCCAACACATCACAACCGCCCCACCCAACCTCCTTTAGGTTTCAGGCTGCGTAGTTTTATTCCCCTATGGCTGTGGTGCCTCACAGTGCTCACTGCATCACCTCTGTCCAGCCAAAATCCCATCGTCTTGAAACACATTAGCACCATACTGCAGGAACGTGAATCTGCGCCAGCCAGGAGCATTTGACACAAGTTTCTGTTTCTTTTTAGAAGGAATTGACCATTCCACCCAAATGGTAACTTACATATTACTCAGCTGAGCAAAATGAAAACAGAAGGAATAAATAAAGGAAATCTCCTATTGCTTTTCACAGAGATTGGATGAATACAGATACTGCACCTGTGTTCCCAAGGAGAGTTCAGGAAAACACATGAGCAGCTTTGTTTGCGTTGCATAAGCAGTTTTCTTCTTGTTCTGTTAATTTGTGCCAACTGCAACACAGAATATTCTGTCATTCAAATACTTAACAGCCCACGGGCTTTCAGGCAGTAATAACTGCCAAAAATATCAAAGCTCTGGTTTCTTTTTTTCCCTCGGTCAAAATGCAGCTTGCTTTCAAAGCCACTCCATTGCCTTAATGCCCAGATGTGTTTCCCCCAGAAGTTTCACTGATCAACATGTTTTCAATTCTAAGCATAAATTACTTTTTATTTCAAACCCACAACCCATGATGGACAGCGGGTTCAGTGACTGCTTGTAACAGAGCCTGCTGTCTGCTTTCGGAGCTCCACGGACAACCTAACGGCTGGAATATCTCTTTTAGGCTCATTTGGTCTGAAAGAACAGACTGCGTCCTTGAGACACAGCAACATGTAATATATTGGTACTATATGGTTAAAAAAGCAAAGAATAAAAATGACTTAATAGCACATAGATGTTCAGTTCCAGTCACACACACACAGGCGCCTTCCACACCCAACACTCGTCCGAGTCACTTTCTGCAATGGTTATCCTTCTCAGCTAGAAGCTCACTGCTTACCCACAAGTAACGTATTTCACTTCTATGGAAAACAAATTAGGGAAATCTGTAATCTGTAAATCCAAATAACACGCTAACACAGCTCGGCTGCTGGGCATGATGCTAATGTTTATTACAGCACAGCAATCAAATTTCAGAAATTTAGAAGAATACTTGTACTAAATATATATTTGCTTATGCCAAGCTATTTCAGAATTCCCATTTTTAATACCAACCTGTGCAACCCTAACTGCCTATTAATGCAACAAGATCACGAGTCTTGCTGATTTCTTCCTGACAAGGAGAAAAACTGTGTGGCAGAAAAAGGTCAGGCTGTGATATTATACAACCACAGTAAATACTGCAGCTCTTACAGGAAATGCGATGTCAGTGACAAAGTTTGGCAGTCCTAATTTATTTTCTAAAATGTACAAAAAATGACAAAAGCACACACACACACCTCCTCAGAATTTTAAAGCAAGCACTTCATCTTTAGAAGCAGAAAAATACAGACAATTACAAAACCAAACAAACTGAGTCAGACACACACCAAAAGATTTTAATATTGATCTTTTCCAGGGATGTCAAAACTATGAAGCCGTTCTATCAAGAGTAAAAAACAACTCAGGCATTTCCACAGACCTTTCCCTGGACTAATCTTTTCACTGAAAATGCGCAGAAATGTAACCTGCACACACTTTCCTCTCCCACCTTTATGGCCATTTTAAAAATGCCTGCATCTACTGTTTGTAGAAAAAGAAAATTCAAGACAATTTCAAAAGCATCAGGTCCCAGGTTAGCTCACTCAGTAGCAGATCACACCAGGCTTTGTAGCTCTCAATCAACCACCCAGAAAAGCCTCTCAAACAGATGCCAGGTTGTCTGCATCACAGCTTTGATTGCCCCAGTCCTTCTGGAGGAGCTGCTCCAGCCCATCTGTTACAGCTAACAAAGTTTCTATCCAGTGATGTCGACCATTTTGGACAGAATTTGTCATTCCTATAAAACTAATGAGTAAACCTAAACTCAGACGTAACCCTAACCATATTAAAACCATTTATTTTCTGTTGCTGATTTTAAGAAAATAAAGATCTAATACTCTGGCACTGGTTTGTTGAGTTTTTCTAGCACAATATTTTGGAAAGCAGTGTCCAACTACTCAAACTACTCAGTTCAAGAAAAACAGTCCCTGGAGATAATTCATCCCTCCCTCTTCCTCCTCAATTCAGTTGCAATAATGCAAAGTGAAATGCAAGGCATGCCACAGCCAACAAACGGATGATGAAATATTGAAGAAAATCCAAAATGGTGAAAATTTCTGCAGGTTCACACACTCCCTTTCTGCAGTTGTGCTTAAACAGGTCCTCTCTTTGTGCCCTACCAGTTTACTGAATGTCACGACTACTGGCCTGAGAGACAAGACTGTTCAAAACAAAACACTCCACACTCACAAAAACAGAAGTCTTGTTTCTGCACCTCGATAATGCTTCTCTTTTCCTTTAGGGACTACTAAAGCTTACTGCCATCAAATCTGACGATTTGCCTTCCTTTAAGTAGTAAGGCTTATCGTTCCTAAATATTCTAGATACTAAAGGTGCTCAAGAAAGAGCAAGCACAAGCCCGAAGTTCTCACTATAATTACTGCTACTGGAAAGAAGCCAGGCACATTGAATACTGGCAGATTAACAGGAAGGATTGTAGAGGCTTGAGCACAGCTTCCAGAGCAAGGCTTGTAGAGCTGCACACTTGCATCTGCCTGTCACGTTCATTTACACCAACATTAAGAAAAAGGGTTTATTTAGAAAGATTTAAGCTCACATTTTAATGACTTCAGAAATACTACAGCATCACCAATACGTTGAACTGTGGCACCTCATCGGTATCAGTGATCTCACAGAAACAGCAGAAAAAAGTAAGAGCAGCATATGGGAGATAAGGTGAGAAAGAACTGGAAATGAAAACAAGATGGGAAGAAGCTGATGTATCTGGAAGGAGCCAAACACAGCACTTGATCCAGGTATGGCAGATGTCAGACAGGTCTTGCTGAGCACCACATTAGAACTGGGAAAGGGAAACAGGCACAATGGCAAGTTGGTTATGGTTGTTTGAAATACGGATTGCAGAACAAGACGGCAGCATCTATCAGTAATTGGAATGTTGGATAACGTGGTTCAGCAGCCCAGCTTCATGTCCTCTACACCAGAGTGACAAGGAAGATGTTCCACTTTCTATTTCACTGCACAACATCTGTGGATCCCAGTTCAGAGAATAGAGCAATTACTGAGACATTGCTGCTCCCTTGTCTATAACTCCTATCCTGTCTGTCTAACCTCTCATCTGTCTTTGGTCAAGCACTGGAATGGGCTAACCACAGAAGTGGTGTAGTTTCCATCCCTGGAAGTATTTAAGAGACATGTAGATACAGCACTAAGGGACATGGTTCAGTGATAGGACATGGTAGGTCAGGTTGATGGTTGGACCTGATAATCTTGACTGTCTTTTCCAACTGAAATGATTTGATTCTATGTCAGTGAGACCTATTCTTTGATAGTAAGATCATTCCAGCTCTTTAGATCCAAAGGCAACTGGACTTAAGCTATAACACAGAACTTCTGGATACACGAGTTTTCTTTATCCTCAACATAAAAAAGCCTGAAATCATACTGGAGTCTTTCAATTCATAGCAGATGCTGCGGATTTACAGGATGCCAATTCAGATTACAGCTGAATGTTTTTCTATACTCCTACTTTAGAGACTTAAGAAGCTCTCAAAGGAAAAGGTGGCTGCATCATCTGAAAGACTGTACTGGATTTTCCAAAAACAGTGCCTAGGAGGCAACCTGGGGCAGTGCCACTGTATACCTACCTATTGTAGTTACACCTTCAAATTCCCCATTTAGCAGTAATGATGTGTTGTGTTATAAATGCTTTCAGCATAAAGTAAAATGACACAGTGATTAAAATCCGTATATTTTAGTAATAAAAATATTTCATTTTTCTGCTTATACACTCTGCACCCGATATGTCTGCACACAGTCACGTTATGTTTTACGCTCAGACATACCCACCTATATTGGGTCGTGTACAGACTTCAGAGTTTTCACATGAAACTATAGAGGATGGAAATTGTTTCCCTCTTCATAATAGAAAAGTGGTAAGACACAAAAGAAGGATTTCAAACTGTTGTTTAAAAGGAAAAAGAAAGAAGAAAAATAATACCAACCCTATACTTGAGCCTGTAATGGACAAAGTGCTCTGTAAATTTGAGGACAAAACCGTGTAGTCAAGTCCCTTAAAGAAATAGGTTGAATTCAACAGTAGAGTTAACTGAAGAGAAACAAGCAACGCTGGAAAGTAAATGAAAGCACCAAGAAGAGCAAAGTCCTGACCTTCCTCCTCTTCCCAAATCACAGATGTAGTTTCCAGCATGCTACAAATAGGCTGCATTCTGCAACACCTACAGTTCAGCACTGCAATGAAAAGCAAAATGTCAACATTTTCACTTTGTCTATGATGTTTTCACTCAATATAAAAGCGCCTAACCTCAATAGAAACGTTATAAAAGAGAATTACCACCATCATCCCTATCTTTTGGGAAGAGGAGAA